CCAGTTTTCTTCTTTAAAAAGACATCTATAAACAAGCTGTCAAGTTTAAACTTGCAAATATAAAAATGAATTTAAAAAACCCTCCAGCTTGTTTTTCACCATTACAACCAATCCAATTAAACTTGTGAAAGCAACAGGAAGAATAAGATTTGCCTAAAGATCAAGGTACAATGAAGAAATTTTAGTTTTCATAAATACAGGTATGTCAGTAAGAAATTTAGACAACTGATGTCTTGCTCTGTTTTTTTAGCTTTGATTTCCCATGAACAAATGTTTGCCCCTTTTCCTGATTTAGTGATGTAATAGCAATACTGAAAAACATGGCACGTCATCACTGAAATATGTAAAGTAGAAAAGTATTATATAGTATTAATTTCAATAAACTTCTAAGGACAGGTTTTACAGTTCACCAAAAAAAGAAAAGCCCTTCCTTCTCATTCACCTGAAACAAGCTTAAAGAGGACTCAGAAAGGTAAACACAATTATAACTGCAAAGGAGACAGAGGGAAAAACATAGAGATTATATTTAGAAGCATAGATCCCTTCCCACTATTACCTCTCATTATGCATGAGAACCCCTGCTCTGCATCCATGTACAGACACTGAGCTCTCACTGCTACTGTTCATGCCCAAACAGGCAAAATTAAGCAATGAACAGAAAAAGTAAGAGAATACTGCATATGTTAAATTCTGTTAAAATTGCTTATCAACCTCATAAAGAATTGTTTTTAAAACTTTTCATCTTTATTGCCTATTTCTTTAGAATTAAATGTATTTTTCTATTCTATCTTCTACAGGGTCTGGGCGAAGGGGAAGGGAAAAAGCTGTTCTACATTCGTTTAAATTATTTACAAGATTCACTTGTAGCAATGAAGTCTTAATTAATCCACAAAATCCTGCTTTAATTGCAGTATAACTCCAGTGTAAAAGGGCCTCTGCATCTGATTATCCTTCTGGAAGACTTATAAATTTAATTTCATATTATTTTAACTTACAGATAAGTTTTAAGCAAGTGGTTTATGAAAAAGTAAGTGTATGGATATAAAGACTGACTCCCATACTCCACTAAATGCTCTTCAAAATCCTGCTGTAAATGCTACTAAACCTACTGAAGGGCACAAGAAAACCAGGTCTGAGCCCCCTTCTTCCTGTTACTAGAGGTGAAGGTGTTAGGTAAGATGGACAGCAAAAAACTGACTTATGGGTTCATTAATTCTCTGTTTATGCAAATTAGTCTCATTTTTCACCAGTACTTTTGCACAGTGATACTACAAACAGTGATTCACAACTGATTATTTAAAACAACTAAGTTATTTTAAAATTTAAACTAATCAAATCACCAACAATTTGTGTCTAAGACTTCTTATTGTGATTCTCCCACCCCTGCACATCACCTTTCCTGAGGGCACAGCTCTCACTCTCCAATTATTACCATGTTTTCCCCAGCACAAAAAGTAATCTTAGAGCAATTATATGAATCATTAATAATCATATAAATGCTACTCTAGAAAGCAGAATACAAAACATCTGATACAACACTTTCTGCTGGCAGAGGCACTTGCTAACTGTTCATTGAAGTCAGCTTTAGCCCATTCACACTCCATCAGGAATCCTTTCCTTCCAACTTCCATCTCTGAAACACCTCCATACATCTTTACACAAACTCATCTTTCAGACTGGGATTTTTTTCAAGTCAAGTGGTAATCTTGGCAGATGTGACTGTAAAAGACTACTGATACAATACTCAACTGAATGTTAAAAAAACCCCAAACAACCAAAGCTGAAGAGATATTCATTCCTTATATTACTTGTATTATGAAACAATGAAACTGATTCTTTTTCTTTAGGAAGCAATAGGGAAGTAATAACTGTCAGTAGGCCCTCACAGGCTGTAAATGCAGACAAGTGTGTTTATATTGTTAAATTATGTTTTAAAGTGTACTGATTTTTTATTTTAAATATCTTAGTCACAGGATGTGTCTACTTTTCAAATAATTATTCTAGGCAAATTTCCTTACCAGGTAGGTACTTTCGATGGCCTACCAACTTTTACAATAACTTGGATTAACTAATTAAATCTTATTGTCTAGTAAATTCAACAGAAAGCATGTTTGCAATGCATACAAATACGTCTTATAGCTGGGTTTTATCCTTTTTAATTTTTTTCCACTCTTCTAAAGTACCAACATGAAAAGACACACTCTTCAGCATGCTCTGCATGCACATATTGTATGGCACCACTGTGTCTCCAGAACTACCACATTCTCTACAATTATTCCATATATTGGATGTTTCTACTCTTCCCATTGCAGGATCATATTCTTGTCATATTCCTTGTAAACACAGTCTACAATCTTGTTTCTTTTTTCTTTCTTGATAGATAATCTAGCATCTGGTGGTATTAAAGTGTGCTTTGCTTAGGTGGAGTGGAAGTTTTTAGAAATGATACATAACTTGTACCTTTGACAGCATGCCTTGGTTTTCAGCAAGACCTTTTCCAGATATTGTCTCCTTCTTAAATATAATTTTCAATTGTGGCAAAAAATCCAGTTAATTTTAGTACCATGTCACATATACCACATAAGAAAACTTAAAGGTGTGCTCTGTAGATGTGTTCTGCCAACAAGATAAATGCCTAATACCTTCACATAATTTAATATCCCAGAACCACAGGATGGTTTGGGTTGGAAGGGACCTTAAGGATCATCCATTCCTCAGAGCCCCACCCAACCTGGCCTTGCACAACTCCAGAGATGGCACAGCCACAGCTCCTCTGGACAACCTGCTCTAGAGCCACCACCTTCTGAGTAAATTCCTTTCTAACATCTAGTTTAAAGCTCTCCTCTTTTAGTTAAAACCATTTCCCTTTGTCCTATCATTGCACACCTGTGTAAAATGTCCCAATTTTTTATGAAATTAAATAAAGTGAAATGCTTAAAGATACAAGAAGACTTTAACCAAATATAACCAGAGGTTTTTCTGGGAAACTAGAGGTTTTTATTGTCAGGCAAGCAGAGGTTAAAATTCTCGGACTCTCCATATGTCAGGTTTAAAGCTGAAAATTAGAGGAGATGCTGAGAAGAGAGAAAGAGACTCTCAAATGGGAAAAACTCAACAAATTCTATACTGTCATGTCTGTGCAACTCCAACCTAAAGGCAAATAAAGTCTCTTTTCCTAAATGAGGGAGGGTATTTACACAACCTTGTATACAATAGTCCAATTACCCCAAGAAACTGTGCCTTTAAATTTGGGTATGACAAGTGTGGGTCTCCAACATTGTTTTAAGCATAAGGAATGTTAATGCTTTCATATAATTTCTGAGGTACAAATTCTGCTATAAGTGGATGGTCTTTCCCTGAAGTGTGCCCTGAACAAGGCACAACATGGCATTACAACTCTTCTAAGCCTGTGCTGGAGGCACAGTTTTTCAAATCTACAATTGAAATACATTTCAGTATGAAATCTTAGCTAAAAATAACCTTAGCCATTTATATTTAATGTTTGCACGAAAAAAAGAGTCTATTCAGGGTACAGTCTGTTGTCTCAGAGATGACAAGAGTAAGTAATATTATTTGAAGTGGAATGTTTTATTTAAGCAGCATGTATAATGAAGCTAGTGGAAAAATATTGAAATTTCAGAAAAGAATGGAATTCCCACCATCATGTAACTGTTATTTCAGGTTAGTGATACATGTTATCATCTATACCTAAGAATAATTATATTACTTACCTTTACCAAGGAATTAAACAATATCTAGCTATTTCACTATATTGCATATTGTATATTATATATTACTATATACTATATTGTATATTAGACAGTGAACCTAAATATCAGCTTGTGTCAATATGACCCAAAAACCTCCCATGAAGTAATCATTTACATCAACACAAAGAGGATTCTTGATGAAAATCAGGTTCCAAATGATCCAGTCAGTTGTTCAGAAACCAGTGGAGTAGTCATTTCACTGAGTGGGAAATTGCATTTTTTTTATTATACCAACCAAGTTTCAGACATCACAAATGAAACTCTGGTACCAATTTAATTATCTAAATTAAGACTTTTTCCTGAAGAGATGAGTCAGAGGTCAAAGACGTTGAAACTTATACTATTTTCCATTCATTTGTAGCATATAAAACTAGAATACCAGTGGTTGTTTAAGATAAAATATAAACCCAAAACTAAATTTAATTAATAGTAACCAAAAAAAAAATTCGATTAAATGTTCTACAAACTAGTATATATAGCACCCAAACAGAAAGCTAAGATAGTTAAGAGCTAAGAGCTAAGAGTGGACCTTTCCTAAAATAATTTAATACCTACTTCTTAATCAGCAATCACCAGGAGAATACTTCCTAAGGCCCACAATATTGCCTTTTTGATTGGTTAATAATAATTCCATCAACACCTAAGAGTTATAGTGGATCTATGCACAGAAGTTATGGTTGCTTTTTTAAGAAGCTTTTTTCCCCCCACGATACATTTATTATTTACAATTATTAATCATTAAACAACCAGGTTATCACTCAGACGTAAATACTTATTTTAAACAAGGTATTAGTCAATTTACAAATTCCTGGGTAGAATATGGAATCCTGATGTCACTTTATTTAAGAATCAGCTCTTATCCCATAGGCATTCATGCAGCAACTTAGCTGGGATAGAGAGACATAGAAATCAAGAATTCTTAGGTTAGTTTAAACTTACTCTAGACTAAACCAGACATCAGAATTAGGTGTGTGAAATCCACCCCCATAAAAATATGTCTCAACTAGCTACTGAATTTAGACTGTTAATGTCAGGATTTTGAAATTAATCTAAAGGGAATACTACAAATACATCAAACCTGCAATTTGTATAAACTTGGTATTTGATGCTCTTTAAAAAAAAAAAGTCTTTTTTGTATAATTAGTGACACCCGCTTATAAGCATTTATTTTGCATTTTCATGCTCTATAACACTTCCTAATCAAAAAGAAGCACAAACACAAGAAAGAAATGTTTTCTAACAGTCTTCATTTTATTTTTTCAGTTTGATATTATCTGTCCACTTAGCATTCTGGAAAATAGAATTTAAGGAAATCATAAAATCATGCAATCATATGTTTTGGTTTAGAGTTTAATAGCAGCCCTTAGCTTGGCTGACCTTCCTCTCGGGTTTGCTTGAATTTCCTTGGACTGGGGTGTGAGAACTTTTTTCTGTATAAAAATCCACTTTGAGTTGGATTTTCCACAGGGAGATCCTTGTGTACCTTCTTTGGAGGAATTTTTCAGAGCCTGTCTTATCTTCTGCTTTGAGCTAAGATTGTACTTTTCTGTCATGTCAATTCCATGAAGAAAACGTTTGATGATACGATCCTCTAGGGAATGGAAGGAGATGGCTACAAGGCGACCTCCAGGTTTTAGAAACTTCTCAGCTGTCTTCAGTCCTATGAGGAGTTCGTGGAGCTCATCATTTACAAATATTCGCAGGCCTTGAAAAGTTTTAGTAGCAACATGAACAGGTCTCTGAAGCAAATCCTTTCGTGCATAGAGAGCTGATGCTGGAAAAGCACCTGTCACACATTTTAAAAGATGTATGTTAGTAACTTCATATTTCTACATCTTGACATCCACTCATGCAAGATTACGTTAAAGGAAACATAGTCAAAACTGAACCTTGAGTAGTGAGCTTCCTTCTTTGTAATAAATCTTTATTTTGAATTCACATCTCTGAATGTAAACCTTATTAAACTAAGATGGTTTGTGGTTAAGTGTTGGGATTCTTTTCCCTAGAATCTTTTATAGACATTCCCTCTCCAAAAGCATCGCAAATTTGAACTAAAAAATAATGTGTGAAATCAAGATAAAGGAAAAAAAGATAGGATAGATAAATCTCACAGCTCAGTGTAATCAATGTCAGTTTGGTATTTGTGGTTATGTTATTGTTTTAAGGAAAATAATTAATGTACAATGGACACAATTCTAACTGTTGCCTTTCAGACAACTGCATTTCTTCACAGGCAGAGATAACTGAAGACAATGTCTACTGGTAATAACTATCTTTCAATGAATTACTTGAAGATTAAAAGAGTTATCCTTGTTTGGGAATAGCAACTGTTGAACGCTACACTTGCATTTCTTCAAATGTCTACAAAAATACCTTGAGAATTTTAGAAAATGCAGCTGATACTGTTGTGTTTTCACATGTCTACACAGCAGAATATGTCAAGGCTTGTCAGACCTAAAATCACCTATTTTTTATTAGATGCACACATTCAGATGTCTGAATCCTTCAAGACAGAATTTGGCAACAGGATTGACTTCTCCCAACAAACAACTGCATGGGAATTTGTGGCTTGAAGCTGTCTCACAAAACAGAGTAAATAGATGTAGCCTGCAGGAGCTAGGTTTCTCCATCATTTACAAACTCTAGGAAAAGTTATTCTAGCTAGTTTATATCATTTCTGTCCTTGAGAATATAACCTTCTCTATTTACTATGAATCACAAAAAAATGTATACTCTCATTGTAGAAGTCACAAAGCTCATTTTGATAAGAGACCTCAATTAAAAGGAGAACTAAAAATCACAGAATATAAGGCGTCCCAAGAAACTGACACCAAGCTTGTACTAACTGGCATGGTATCTGTTTCCATATGTCCTTACATACATTTAAATAGATTCTTTGGAAATGGAACCCTTAGAACAGCCACTGAGTGCCAGCTGTGTGTGATGAAAAGTGTCTCTTAATGCATAACATATAGGAATGTTGTGCTAGGCAAAATAAACACAACTTTCTCTAAAGGTCAGGTAACAACTACAAACACTAGTAGAATGCTCAGAACTATTGAATGAATTAGAAGTTAAAAGAAATTCTTCCCTTTGAGGGTGGTGAGGCACTGGACCAGGTTGCTCAGAGAAACTGGATTCCCCATTCCTGCAGATGTTCAAGGCCAGGCTGGACAAGGCTTTAGGCACATTGCTCTAGTGGAGGTATCCTTGTCCATGGCAAGGTAGTTGGAACTGGATGGTCTTTAAGGTCCCTTCCAACCCAAACCATTCTGTGAATCTAAATTCAACTTCAAAAGGCTTTGTAAAAATGTAAATGTAAAGGGACATAGTATGCTTATATCTGGGCAGATTTTCATTGGTGTGATCATGAACACTGACATTTTGCAATTGAAATACTGAATAGATAAATAAAAGAACAATGACACTGAGGCTATTAGCACAACTAGGACACAGGTCTTTGGAAAGTTCTTCCACTTATCCTGCCATGGCTGGTGAGTGCAGTTTCTTCCTACAATAACCTTCTATGACAATTAACTGTTACATTAATTTATTACTATGAATAATTTATCATACACTGAAGAAAAATTAATTAAAGCCCAGGTATATTCTGTAAGTAAAATACAACCTTACATGTCTCAGTTGAACATGCACAAAGAGCACTGCAGGTCCTATAATAAAGTACAGAAAACTAATATTCAGAAAATTGGTAAAGAAATGCAGCCACTTTGCAGTTTTATGCAACCAAAACCTCCCAGACTAAAAACCAAATCAAACTGTTCACATGTTCAAAGACTTACTGGTTTATTGTCAAAGACTGGGATTAACAAATGTAATCTCTGGTAGTTATTTCTGTCACATTGACCTTCAGCTTTTTAGTAAAAGCTATAGATTCTGATCTGTGTTCGATGGGTGAAAAATTCTCCTATCACTCTTACTCCTCTAGTTTAGTTAAATAAAAATCTGTTTGTGCTTTCTGCTCAGGCACATCACTTCTCACCCAGGCTCCTCCAGTTACCAAGACACTTACAGAAAATCCTTCCTGGTAACTGGCTGTTCAATGTACAACAACAGGAAAAAAAAAATCTGTACGGGAAGCTTGTAAAATGAACTTCATTCATAAAAACACCACTCTTCTGGCTAGATTAATGGTTTGAAATCCCAGTGAGAGAAATAACCATTTTTAGTTTTAGGATGCCCTGATGATACTAACACTTTAAAACAATCTAATAGGTTCACATGTTGAAATGCATTGAAATTTTAAAAGCTCGTGAATGAAATTAGCAATGTGCTGTGCCTGTCAATATGAACTATTAGAGTCCCCAGAGTGTAAGAGAGTGGGAGAGTTGAAAAATTAATTCAGATCGTGCACCTGTTTGCAGGAATTTGTCTGTTGAATTTGCACAGCATTTAATCAGTTTCTGTGACGCAACGATTGTCCTTTTGTCTAGGCTCCCTCAGTACAGTGTTAATTCTCACCCATCTGAAATTCAGGCAATATTACAAATTCCAAACTGATAATTAAAGCCGATAAAAGTGAACCAGTCTGAATGAAATTGACTGTACTGACTAAAGTTCTTTTTAAACTTTTAAAATTTCTTTAACGTATCATCATCAACTCCTTTCAAGTTAAGGCCAAATGATTACATGATCTCAAAATTTTCTTTTAATAGATTATATATCTAAATAATGCTCAGAAAAAATACATTTTGAAAAGAAAATTAATAGATAAAAAGGCATATTGTCCCCTGAAAAGAAATCAAAATAGACCATTAGTTGTACAGGAAAAGCATATGAAAATAACATTCTAAAAATGTCACCATTTTTAATGAGTTCTCCTGCACACAGTTAGACCTCTTGTTTCCAAACAACTCAATGAGGTACAACAAAAGACACCAGGAAGAGCTTCTTAATCAACTTTCACACATCTATTCACTACCCTTCAGTTGGGAGCTACTGATTTTTAGTGTTTACAGAGCATTCAATGATGCAAATAGCTCTGTGAAATTATAAAGAGTGAGAAGAGTTTGACTTCTGTGGGAAGAGATGCTGTTCCCAAGACTGAACCAAAAACTCCTCTACTGCAGATTCCACAGCTCACAGAGATCTTATTTAAACAGATCTGAAGCTTCTCGGATAATATTTATAAACACAAAGAGAAAGGCAAATTTTCTAATGCTGTTTTGTTTCCTTGGTGTTTTTTTAAACTACATCCTTCACTTCTACCTCCCAATCAATTAGGAACTGCAATACAAGTTCTAACCTTTTGGGGGGTGGTAGGAAAGACCAGAAGTCTAGCATTCTATTAAAAAAAATTAAATTTTCCAAGTTCAGGTTAGTCCAAATCTAGATTCACTGTGATTCGGATTATCAGCTGGACCTTGAGATAAAATTTTGGAGCTGTAGAAAATCTGAAACCATAGTAATTCATAAGAGGAGAAAGAAATAGAGACACTACACAAATTCTCAGATACTGACACCCAGCTTCATTGGCTAGATTGTTTTGCCTGTCTTCTGGTTCCTATACTAGGCAAAAATAACAATCCTGCTCTGGAAGATAATCAGGCTTGCAAAGAATCTGCACAATCTAAAATGCAAGATTTTATTATTCTTATATTTTTATATTATTTATTATTCTTATATTTTATTTTTTAAAAGACATAACATTTAACTAATATAGGTCATAAATCTTACTCTGGTGAAGTTCTGAATTAGTCAATGTTTTTTTTAGGCTGTGGCATCAAGAGGTTCCTGTAGCTATGGTCTCTGGCACTTTAGCTCTGGCTTATCCCAATAACTTCACAAACATAATTTCATGTAAGAATATATATTAATGATACATGATAAATGAATCAATATATATCACAATTACAAAAAATTTCCTTGAGGTTTTCTAAATCAGTTCAAAAACCAGTAAGATCCACCACAGTACTCCCTTACTGGATGAACCAAATTAAAATTGGAAGAAGTTTTATGCAAACAGGGATCAGTGTAACAGCTCTAAAATTGTTATAACTACTTGTGTCCTCCAAAAAAAGCACACAAAGCATAGATATTTATTGTCTTGGCAGATGTGTGCTGGACTCATTGTTTTGGCATGTACACTACCTGATGCATACCTGACTCGTGGATCAAGAAGCTGTTCACATATAGCAGAGAATTTAAAGTGAGAACAAAAAAAATCCTCTCATTGTCACAGAAACTGGCCATTAACAAATGACTCACACGCAGGACATTAAACATGATGGGAACTTCAATTGCTGTCTTTCATACACTAGTATTTTAATTTCCGTAGTTTAAGCTGTGGCACAAAATTATTTCAGAATTACTGGGTTGCCTGTCTGTAACACATAACATATCCTTAACACAGTGATATGGTTGCTTCAAATTCTTAATCAACAGTTTTTCAAAAAGCATGAGATTTGTGACGTATATGACAAAGCCCAAAATTATTATTTCAGGATATTGCTAATGATGATATTAAAAGTGTAAAGTTTATAAAAGTCACATACTGCTTTATCTCTTTGATTTTTTTTAAAGATTGCTTACATTCACTATATTTACAGCAGGGGCTTACAATAACAAGCAGTGTCTCTTCAAGTCCTTTTATCATACCAGCTAAACTTTGGGCCTAGGTTGCCTGGACATTTTGCTAAACTGTCCTGACTTCTACAAATCCAAACCTTTTAATTTTTCCATCATTAAATATAAGTGCCCTAGATTTCCAGTTTAAGTAATACAAATTTTTAAGAATATCATAAATTTTTCAATTTTTCAACACTTCAGGACACTGATAAAATATTTTACACTGTTCTTTAGCAAGTGTTAAATTTGGATTAGAATTTTAAAGGTCTATAGTCAAAGTCAGCAGTTTAGACTTATGCATGACAAGATGTAGTGATTTTCATCATTTGGTTAAGAGAATAAAAACATCCTGATGCTACATATTATGTTAATGAACAGGATTCATGTCTTATATTTTTTCTTGAAATTTTTTTACTTGGGAACACAAATGTAAAGCTTCTTGATGTAAGCACTGTTCCTGCCTAACTGCATATTCTTCAAGTTGTTTACAATGAGGAGCAAGGAAGATGAAGTGTTTCAATAGACTCTTCAGGCTGACCTAGTTGGCATGCACAAGGTGAAGCGAGCCATGTATTGCTTTGTGTTTCCTGATTCTTTAAAAATACAGAAACTATCTGATTTTACTCGGAATTGGAGACTGCCATGGTACCTCCCCTTAAAATATTAAAATACAGACATTTTAAACTACGACAGATATGACATATCTGATTTTTGAAAGTAGCCAGGATCAACAGCCAGGATAAAGAATACCCAAGGCTGCTGTCATTCTATGGTTCAACTTGGCTGACAAAATGATAAATCACTTCACGTTAAATCTATTATTAAACTAATTGTCAAACTACAATACAAAAAAATGGGAGCTTAAAAAAAGAGAAAAAGAGAGCTGACATCAGAGCAGAACAGGCAGGATTAGATCCTGCATGATTTCGAGTACAAATAGATCCCTCTGGGACTTTGGGGGATTAATATTTTTTTCCTCCTCACTGTGAAGAATTAACGAGGGTACCTGCAACGATGCTGGCGAGCTGCTGCGTTCTGGTGATGGGGTAGACGCTGCGTGCCCGCGCGATGGCCCAGGCGATTTTCCGGGCGTGCCTCTCCTCGCCGTAGGTGGCCAGGACGGCGGCGAGCGCCCGCGGAGCCAGAGCGTTCACGGCATCGGCCGCCGTGGCCATGGCCGGACACCTGCACAGCCAACAGCCAATCAGGGCACTGACCCAGCCAGCACCACAACAGGTGAGGCTTCACCACGCCGGGACACGGAGTCAAACACACACACACACTGCACACAAGGGCCTTTGAGGTTTTCAAATAGGAGATGGCAACTCTGGGGAAACAGTTTGCACCTTTCAAATGCTTTTTCTTGCTGGTCTAAATGGATTTTGTTCCTCAACTTCAATTAGAACAGTTTTAACTTCCAAATATATGCTTAATAGGATGATGTGGTTACTGCGCTGCAGAGAGAGAGAGAAAAGACAGCAACACACACGGAGCTCTTTGGGGAAAAAAGGCCAATTTATTGTACAGACAGCCCGGATTTAAAGTGTGTTAGTGCAGCCAGGACAGGACAGGAGCTCATTGGACAATTGGGAAAAACATCCTTGGGACAGCACCTCAGGATGTGTCCCACGGGAAAGACACCAGGGGTTAATGTTGGTGATGAATTCCACTCTGTTTGTCACCATGTTGTCACCCTGGGAGACTCCTCCCTAACTGAAGCTGCAGTCAGCTTGTCAGCCTGGGAATGGAGCTGAGAGTCAGGAGAAATCCAGGCCTGAAAAGAATTTCCAAGCTCTAATTCCCCAGCTCTCTGAATGTGTGTGTCCACAGGATGACAAGAATAAATATATTCCAGTATCGTGCTAGGATGGAAATTATGTGTGACCTTTCTACTTAGCCAGCTTTAGAATATAAACTTGCCTCTTATGGGTTCATTTTAGCCACCTTGCATCATAGTTGTTTTCTAGGCAGAATTGATTTCAAGGATCTTTTCTTTCACATCTCCTCTTATGAAAACAATTGCTAATGAAGATAATGAAACATTACTTTTCACTAAAAGGCATAAGAATATATAGAAATACTCTCCTGAGATAATGGAAATGACATAGTCATATAAATTACAGGACTTACTACAATTTAAGCAGTGAAAGCCTTCAATCTATAGATCTATATCTGTCACTTTGCTACTGAAATAGTTCAAGGTATTTTATGAACATCATCTATGGGTTTACTAATCAGAGAAAACATAGAAACTGCTTAATAAATTCTCTTGTAAATTCTCTTTCAGGCATTTTTTACTCCCCTGCAGTATCTTACAAAAGATAACAAAACTTAGAGGCAAGTAGTATCATAGCAACAACCATAGTGTAAGGAGTGTAAGGCTTTTGTTATGCCTCAGGTATCCTTTGTTCTTATGCTTCTATTCTGTGTTTGTTTTCTCATGATGCATCAGACTTATATTTAAGCCTGGAGTTCAGATTCTTGAAATCTGAGGGCTGAATCCCAGGAGAATCATGGCAGCATTTTGCACAAAACCAGAAAAAGCAAGTAACATGAAATTTAAAATTTAAAATTGTTAAAACTTAACATTAATATGGTAAGCTAATTCCTTTGAAATTGAGGCTTCCCATTGGCTCTTGTGAGCAATGAAGGAACAAATGGCATTTCTTAAGACTACATGTTCATCAAAACACCAAGAAGAATTACAATTGTCATGTAATGCACCATGCAATTACAGCCATCACCCATTCAAGACAGATCTTTGCTTGCTCATGCAAAAAGAAAAATGCTGCAGAAATACATAAGGTTGTCTGAAGATGAAAAACCCTGCATAAGTGGAAATTATAATTCCATGACTGATTTTTGTGCTCTTGAAAGTACTAAACACCAATCCAAATTTAAATACAGGTGATTTACTCGATAACCATAAATTTGGCAATTAAGCCTGATGTGCCTCCTACACAAAGAGACAGGAAGTTTATAATTTTGCTAAGTAAAACTTACAACAAATACAATGGCAAATGGGCATGGAAGCATGCATCATACTAGCATGTTAAAAGCAATGTAGCTATCTGATTTAAACCAGAAGATATAATGGATAGGATTTTATTTATTTATTTTTATTATGTTCCTTTTATAGAGAAGCAACTGGGTAAGATGGTCATTGCACAGAAGAAGGATGCTGCTCCTTTCCTGAGGGAGCAACTGAACCTGCTCAAGTGAAGTTTCCAGAAATAGCAAGTGTGGCAGAAAAGGAAAGGGACTGCAGTAAGAAGTTGTGAGCCTGCAGATTAAGTACAAGCAGAGAAACTGTGGAAATAATAGGCCTCTGAATAAGAGATGTGACTGTACACCATACACTGCAAAAATGTTACAATTTAAAGGCAGAGTTAATAAAACATTACTGGTTTAATTACTCATCACTGGAACCTTCCTCTTATTTCAAAGAAGGCAAAGACAATAACCAGGGCTGGGCACTGAGATAGAAATAAACTTTTTTGGCAAAAGAAAGTCAGGGTACTCATGCAAAATTAGATCTCATTGTTTGATGACAAGAATTCTTCATTTTAAGAGGAAAGCAAATGCACAGGGGTTGCTGAGCAGACAGTTTTTGACGTTCAAGAATATTCTGTTATAATGTACCTGTCACTATCCATCCTCATGTCCAAAGGTCCATCCTTCTGCAGGGAAAAGCCTCTTTCAGGTGTATCAAATTGCATAGAAGAGCAGCCAGCATCCAGGAGAACACCATCCAGAGTCCCTGGCTCAACCCCAGAGGAGATTAACAAAGCCTCTGCCTCGCTAAACCGTCCTAGAAGAGGTTGGATCTGTTTCCTGTAAGAAAGTAACAAATAAATAGCCTCAAGTTTAATTATAACAATGCCATCTCTCCCCATTGCATCGCAGGAATTAGATAATAGCACTCAACTTGTCTCAGAAGCAATAGGGCTATTCCCAAAGTAATAGTTTGTGTATTTTCATATGTCAACATTGAAAACTGGTCCAAACCACCCCTCAGTGACTACTTCTACTTAAACTCTTTATTCCCTTCCTGCTTGGTCTTAAAGAAATGAAAAACTGATAAAATATTATTTTTTTTAGCATGCAGGACACTTCAGCAGGAATGTCCTGACTACTAAGGGACCTGCCCTGCTTAGCAGGTACTTGACCTTTAGTCAAGCAAGGCCAAGGTAAAAAGAAAGAACAGATCTTGGACCTAGAGAAGCAGACAAAATGGAACAGGAGTGCACAACCTTGTGATTAATATTTACTCACCAAGAAAAGAATTCCAAGTTCCTGTCATGGGACCAAACACGGTTTTAGTGGTATTTGTCATTTAAAAAAAAACTGGGAGAATGAGGTGCACTGAATCATAAGCAGGTAAAACACTTAGTGTATTTTGAATTTAGGCACCTGATCACTGGAGAGAGTAGTTTAACATGCAATTTTGTGCTTACTGCTCTTTCTTAAACTGGTTGTATCTTAATATTCCCATACTGACAAGGAAAAGAGGAATGCAAGGGAAGAGATAACACATCTTCTCCACAGGTTCTAGTGTCCAATCACACAGAACCTGATGGAGATCAAGAAGTGTTTGGACAATGCTCTCAGGCACAGGATGGAATTTTTGGGGTGTCCTGCCAGGAGTTGCATTCAATGATCCTGATGGGTCTGTGCCAACTCAGCCTATCCAATAATCCTATGATCTCTGAGGTTTTCAATGCTTTCTTGAGTATCTCAAACTTTTGGGTTTTGCCTATATATAGGGTGACATACAATTACACAATTTATCTCTCTCAAAATCTCAATTAATTTCACAGACTTAAAAATATTAATCAACATCCTGCTGCATTTTTAAGCAGTACCTGCAAAACAGAATGCATTTCTGCCCATTCCAGGAAGCGACTGCCTCCACGTGGAGAGAAAAAGCTTCCATTAAAAGGAAGATGCTTATGAATCCAACCACATGGAAGAACATTCAGCTACACAATGTTCTCCTCGTTAGACCAGAACAAATCCACCTACTAAACAGCACAAATCCCGGGAAACTGTGTGAATGAAAACTTTCCATGAGGGATATCATGACTGCATACAAAATTTTGAAGTGATTTCTGTCCAGCCCATAACTGAATACAACTATTCAGCATTAGAACTGACAGTTCCTGAAAAGCACAATGATCCACTTAACATACTTTAACCAATTTAAGCTATATAGTTATACAGTTTTGAGATTGTATTTCCTCCTCATTATAATGAGAGGAATTTTCTATAAAATATGTACCACTTTTTCCAACTGGGCAGTGTTTCTACCTTCATGACTCATGCAAATGAATGAACTTTAAAATTCTGCATGTGGGAGATGAAAACAAATGAGACCTGGATAAAACTAAATTGCCATTGTCCAGTTCCCCAGCAGACAGTAATCCATGTCAGTGGCTCTGAAGCAGTGCTCTACCAATCAATCTGAAAAATTACCCTGAACAGTATTTATTTATTGCTAGAAATTTTCTTTAAACAAGTCATAAATATGTGGCTAGCTAAGATGCTTGTGACAGTTTTTGATTTGTGATCTGCCAAACTTTCGTGATTAGAAAAGGTTAATCTAAAAAATTAGTAAATTTTAAGTAAGTAGAAATTTACTCTTTGGTAGAGAGATGCTTCAGCTGGAAAACATTCTGGTGTTTACAAATAAAAAAAAGATTAAAAAATGATTAGGTTGACATTTGATGTCAGTCTTTCAGCTGTGTGAAATTATAGCTTCTGTATATAATGTGCTTGTTATGCACTGGCTTGTGTAGATATAGGCATCTTGTTGAATATAAATTCTCACTAAAACCAGATGCTTTTTATGAGCCTATAATGACTATATTACAATGTTCAGGCTAGTTCTCTGAATTCCTGTTTCTCTGTGGAACAGAAGACACAATTTTAAGCATCTTGGCTATCTCATACACTTCAATTAATCAAACCAAGCACACAGCAATGAAAGATTTATTACCTTATGAAAGGAAATACAAATATCAACTCTTCTTTTGATAGGATAGTAACAATGATGATAGTGATGACAAGGATTAATCTATTAGATTATAAGCATGACACATTTATTTAAAATTAAATATTTTACCAAGAATTCAGAATATTTATTAGTAGATAAAGAACCTCTTCCCTATTCTGCCATTCTTTATGCCTATATTCAAATAAAAACTGCCTGTTATACATAGGACTTCTCAAAATATTCTTAATTTACTGTAAACTTTCTTTTGACTTCAGATTTTTATTTATGTGATCTGTAAATCCACTTTCCAGAAAAAGCTCAAATAAATAATAAATAATAAACTGTTAAATAGTAAATTGTGTTAAAAAATTTTATTTCCTACAGTCACATGCCTTTTGCTCTTCCCAGGTATGCAGAATTCTTTCCACTTTCCTTTTCAGTCTTCCAATGTTTTCTTTGGCCAATAGAGGATTTCTGTTCCATGACCATATTTACCTAGTATGAAAATCTATTATCTTTTCTGTCTTAATATATTGCAAAATCAGTGCTTAGTGGAAAAAGCAGGAAAGTTAAACCAGGGAACATCTGCAATAAACACCAAGAAAAAGAGCCAAGCTTATAGTTCTAAGAAGCCTGAGATGAGAGAGTATATCAAAATATTACATAGCAAGACTAAATGGGGATTTTCATCAGGTCTTGGTGAAACCTTTGAAAGCTGCTAAGGCTACAAAGGGTCACAGAGAGAGCATTGTAATAATTTCAGGCAATCTTAGAAGGTTAAAAATTTGACTAAAACAAGTTAAACTTAGTATCTGAACAGCATTTTATATTCAAAATATTTTAGAAACATAAAAAACTATGATGAGCTTTTAGCTCCTCTCTTATAAATCGAGAAATGAGACTTGTAGGGTTTAATATTTAATGACTTGATGGTACCACATAGAAAGCCAAGACAATTTCAGAGACTATGGTCTGAGGATGTAAAACAGCAGAAAATACCTATCATGTAACTCTCATTTGGGGGGGTATGTACTGGGTAATAGCATGGTAATTTTTTTATGAATTCCCAACTGCCACAAACAAGCAATCTGTAACTTCTCAAAATATTCAACGTGTTCACTCCCTCTTTAGTAATCTTGACATTCTACAAGGAAAACGTATGTAAGATTTTAAATGAACACTGGGAATATGGAGAATCTAGCCTATTTTAAAAAGAATAAAAAGTTATTTACAGCAACTAAGCTTGTGGGCCCTTTATAGATTTTCTTGTGCAACAACTTCAAAAGCTTGCAGAATTCTTGGGGAAATAACACAGTTGGAAAATAATACAGAACCTTGGGTTCAGGTCCTTTGTTTAGGTCATAACACAGTATTTTATTATATTATGACGCATAGCATGGTAATTCTGCTAGACAGGCCTTGATCCACACTTCTTAACTACATGAAAGAGCAGAATGAGAAAGAGTTCAATGTCTCCTAAAGTATTTCAGGCTCTGCAGGTTTCAGTTAATCTCTGGTATTCTGCAATGCTTTACAAATTTATTTTTTTATTTTACTCAGCTGAGAGGGATCCACACAGGAAAAAAAATAAAGCATTAACACAGCTTCAACAAAATAAATAGAATCTTTTCTCTCATCAAATTTCTCTCCATTGTCACAGACATTGACATGATCATCTATCATTCAAGTAATTTCACAGAGCTGTACAATGATTCTTTGATGGTGCTTCACCATTTTTTAAGTATACATAGTAATACTTGGTCTTGATGGTTCACTATTGCTCCACTTAAAAATCCTATGAATAAATACACGACAATCCCTCGTCAGAAGTGAAAACTACATTTTCCACAACCAGAATAAAAGGTTCTTCAGGAGAACAGAACACAAGGTTTTTCAGCTAACTCTTGGCACTGCACATCAAACAAGGAGACCAGCGTGGTGCTTTGATTCAGTAACTCCACTGGGACTGCCACGGGGTGCCAAGGAGCACCAGCTGTAATGAGGATACTGGTACAGACCTGGCTTGACACTGACTCACCCCACTGAGGTCACTCACAGCTGTCAGAGAGCTGCAGCTTTCACTCATGGCTGCACTGCTCCAGGCATACCTAGAAGCAAACTATGAAGGATTCTAGCCATAAATTCTTGGAACTTTCAGTATCCTACCTGGAAATTGTTGTGTGTTACTACACCTCAGTGTAACATTCCTCTCAAAAAATGCATCTGAATATTCTGCAAAAAATTTTACATTACCTCTGCCAAATGGAAATTTGGCATGGTTTTCATGCTTGCCAAATGTATTGGTTTTGCATGGCCTGGTTACTGGCACCAGAGGGGGCTCATAGAAGTGGCTTCTGTGAGAAGCTGCTGGAAACTTCCACGATGTCTAACAGAGCCAATCCCTGACAGCTCTGAAGATGGAAAAGGCAGGGCCAATTAGGGACGATGGTAACACCTCTGTGATAATATATTTAAGAAGAAATCAAAATAAAGGTTGTGGTGTAGTTTTAATTCCAGCCAGAGAAGAGAAGGAAGTGAGAACATGTGAAGGAAAACAACCTGGTAACACCAAGGTCAGCAAAGGAGGGGAGGAGGTGTTCCAGGCACCAGAGCCGAGATTCCTCTGCAGGCTGTGGAGATGGCATGGGGGAGTAGCTGTGCCCCTGCAGCCCATGGAGATCCACAGGGGATTGAGAGATCCACCCCCAGCCCGTGGGGATCCATGGGGATGCAGAGATCCACCC